CTCTAGAAAAACTTTTACGATTTCCTTGGTGATATAATACATCTCATTTATCCCTTCAGAGTTTTACAGCTTCAAAGAGTAATGTCTCCAATTTAATTAAAAATCTCATGTCTCTAAGTAAAGATCCCAAGTCACTGGAACAGTCAAAGCTTTCATGAAAACAAATGCAATATTCATGTTACTTTAATCCTTTAATTTCTTTAAAAAAAAGGAGAAGGGGCTATGTCAAGGTTGCTCCATCAAGTTGAAACATTAATTCAGTATGTCTTACTTCCTACTTTCACTGTAAGTTTATCTTTACTCTGCTGTTTCATATTTTCTAACAAAATATTTGATATTAATCATAAGTTATTTATTAAACTGTCCCCAAGTCCCCAGATTTTTCTCCGGCAATATTAAATTTACAAAATAAATCTTATACGGAAGTAGCATCTCCTTATCTGCAAACTCAATGTCTATCTGTCTGAGGACAAACAATTTTTTAGGACAAAGTTTTGTCAAGCATGAATATCTAACAAGTAAAAGCAATCTGCATAAAGCTTCCAGATTTGCATCCACTATGGCTCTGCTTCCTGGCCACTCCACAACAACAACAAAAAAAGTGTAAAAAAATACCTGTTTCATCCCTGCATAGTAAACATTCATCTTTTCTTCTTTTAAACAAATTATTTAGAAGATGAAGGGAAATCTCACCACCTGATTCAGCAGAACTGTGATCTTCAAAGCTTTATTGTTCTTATGCTAAAATTGCCTGACCAAAGAAATGTTAACTAGCATACTTTAAGGTTTTTTCCAATTGCTTTCTCTTATATAACCAAGATCTACAAGGTTCTTCTAGTGCATGTGTTTAAAAACTGGTGAAAAAAACCCCTACCTTTTATTTTACAAAGAAAATTAATGGATAATAAATCCCTCCTTTAAAACAAAGAATCAAAACTCCTAAACATATTTTCTGGTCTAGAAGGCAAAGTGGAAGCCAACAAAATCATACCATTACGACACAGAAATTTATTTTTCCTCATTTTCATCATTTAAACATTTTACAGATGCACAATGGTGCTGCAGTTTTTAAAATATCCTCTTCCCATCTAGTTTATCAACTCTTGCCCCATGCATATGACAGCGTCCTTTTTCCTAACGGTTTGTCTAGTTTTACTTTTCAGTGTTTTACATTGATGTGCATCTTCCCTATTCTTAGTTTACAGCCATTTTGCAGAAATTCTTTTTCTACCCCTACAGAGTTGTAGGTCCTTGGTTATGATTCTCAGTGGCTGCTGACACTGTACCCCAGCTTCTACAACCAAATTCACAATTCTCTTGAGGGCCTGTTTAGCTGTCAAATTTGGGGTCTCAATTTCTTCTGTTTTGTTCTTATTCAACTCTAACACAGACCAAAATATATTTATACTACATAGACTATAAAGTGGGTTTGTACTGCAAAGAAAAATATAAAATTTTGATTGTCTTCAAATTTTTCCATTAATTATTCCTAGATTTACTTATGGGTGCCATGACTGGAAGCCATTCTGCCTCACTGTCATGGTTTCAGCTGGGACAGTTGACTTTCTTACTAGCAGCTGGTATAGCACTGGTACTGGGACCAATGATGTTTTACATCTTTGTCGGCAACATGGACAGTGGGATTGATTGCACCCTCAGCAAGTTTGTTGATGACACCAAGCTGCATAGTGTGGTCAACATGCTGGAGGGAAGGGATACCATCCAGAGAAACCTGGACAGGCTGGAGAGGTGGGCCCAAGCCAACCTCATGAAGTTCAACAAGGCCAAGTGCAAGGTGCTGCATGTGGGTTGGGGCAATCCCAAGCACAAATACAGGCTTGGCAGAGAGGGGATTGAGAGCAGCCCTGAGGAGAAGGACTTGGGGGTGTTGGTGGATGAGAAGCTCAACACGAGCTGGCAATGCACGCTTGCAGCCCAGAAGGTCAACTGTATCCTGGGCTGCATCAAAAGAAGTGTGGCCAGCAGGTCAAGGGAGGTGATTCTGCCCCTCTACTCCACTCTCGTACGACCCCCACCTGGAGTTTTGCGTCCAGCTCTGGGGTCCCCAACATAAGAAGGACATGGACATGTTGGAGCCAGTCCAGAGGAGGGCCACAGAGATGATCAGAGGGCTGGAGCACCTCCCCTATGAGGACAGGCTGAGAGAGTAGGGGTTGTTTAGCCTAGACAAGAGAAGGGTCTGGGGACAGCTTATAGCAGCCTTCCAGTACCTAAAGGGGGCCTACAGGAAAGATGGGGAGGGACTCCTTCTCAGGGAGTGTAGTGATAGGACGAAGAGTAATGGTTGTAAACTGAAAGAGGATAGATTCATATTAGAAAGAAATTTTTCACTCTGAGGGTGGTGAGACACTGGTACAGGTTGTCTACAGAAGTTGTAGATATCCCATCCCTGGAAGCATTCAAGGCCAGGTTGGATAGGGCTTTGAGCAACCTGGTCTGGTGGCAGGTGTCCCTGCCCATGGCAGGGGGGTTGGAACTAGAGGATCTTTAAGGTCTGAACTCTAACCATTATATGATACTTTGACTCTATGGCACCGAATATACCTTTGGTCAGTTGGGGTCAGCTGTCACAGCTGTATTCCCTCCCAAATTGTTACGCACTTTCAGCCTACCCTGTGGCGGGGCACTATGAGAAGCAGAGAAGACCTTGATTGCTTAGCAACAACCAAAACCACCAGTGTGCTATCAACACCATTTCTCTTCCCAAATTTTAGTGGTTGTCCTATGTTTACAATAGCAATGGCCTAAAGGAGGCAGGCAAGTTCTTGGCAGAGGTAACAAGTCAAAATTTCTGCAAGAAACAAATTTCTACATGAAAGTCCATCCTCCTCAAAGAATTTGTATTCATTAATCAGAGAATAAAGAGTTTAACATTAAATACGCTATACATTCATGTGGGAGAATTTTGGAACTCTCAAGAAACATCTGCATTTTCCTTAATTGAAAATAGATTAGGTACTCAAAAATGAACCTTACTCAATGGAGAAATCATCATATATTATAACTGAATAATATAAATTATTACTGTACCTATTAAAGTTGACAGAACTATTCAGTATTAAAATAGATGGAACTAAGGCCACATGAATACATCAAGAGCAAGATATTTACAGGAGAATTAATCACATCACTCTCCAATACCTCAGTGCTACTCACCGTCACAACTACACCACTAGATACTCCAACTACTTGATCAACTAGCAACTTGAGCTGAAAAAACGATCCTTTTGAAAGGCCTAAATTTCTTCCTCGGAAAAGCACTGAAATCTCAGTATATATTTAAGACTTTGTCTGAAAGAATACATCCATCGATACTGAACTACTTTTAACATCATCCTGTCCTGTGACAACTTCAAAGGCAATATCAACAACAACAACAAGAAACTCTGGTAGAACACTCCACAGGGAAGGCAAACCTACCCTGAGTCACTATGCCAACTTCATCCTCCACTCTTCCACCCCGGGACATTTTACATGCTCCCCAAATCCATAAATGTAGAACCCTGGCCCACCTCATGCATTCAGCTACAGGACCCTTCGTCAAAAATTTTCAGGATTCAGCAAAACTCTCCTCAAACTTCATTACCACAGTCGTCTTGCCATTAATCTCTTCATGTTCCACAAGCTATAAAATTTCTGGATTTTTCTTTACTGCAGTAAACAACTACTTTATTGCTCTCTTTTCTGTCAACAGATCCTCTACACCACTGGTACAAATTCTCATTCTGGATAGTCTAAATTATTTGTATCTAACTAAACCCCGAGAAATTGTTCTCAGCTTGAATTTAGCTTTGACATCAGCTGCTTATTTTTCTGTTGTAAAGAAGAGCTTGAGTGCCTGAAGGTTTATCAGTATAGTGAAATTGAAAACTGACATCCTACCACATTCAAAAGAAGTAAACAAGACATATACAATGTAAAATCATTCTATTTACACTGGAAATGTAAGCAACAGAGTGTATAATAATGGCTTAGCATCAAAAAGCCAACTTTTTGTGTAATTGATTAGGTATGAGATTAATAATTCTGTTTAAGGCTGGGAAGGGAAGCGGGGTCTGTTTCGAAAGAGCTGAATTTCAAACTTCTGTGATAATTTACTTCTATTTTACTTCAAATTATAAAGGGTTTTTTTTTGTTTATTTTGTTATTCAGGACATAAAAAAATATAGTAATATCAAATTCCAACACCTGAATGAAATACAACTTGTTTAAAATTCTTCAGAGTATAACATTCAAGTATGCCACCAAGAAATCAGTGAATTTACAGACCATTCCCCCAAATATTTCCAGCACCAGAGACTATAAAATTCTATTTTTGGAAGAGTAATTTAACAGTTACTATAACATATTTAATTTGTAATCCCTACAATTGTTAAAAGCAATGTTGGGAATGTCCCTCTCAGTTTGTGTTAAAAGACATACCATTATCCTTATAGAAGTACCTCTCTAAAAAGAAACTCAGGAAACATTTCTGGTTCATTACAGGTTTAGGTTTCCAATTTTCATAACCCTCTCTATTTCTTACTTATTCTACTTTTTGTCTTAGAGAAGTATCTTTATTCTGAGAGATAATGGATTCCAGCATAATAAGGAAAAATATAACACATTTTCTCTTCCATAGGTATAAAAAAAGTCACGTAGACTGTCTACAACATAAATGCTGATATCTGAGCTTGTCATCTTGGGCTCCTTTTGAAGTCAGTGAACAACACAGTCACTTACAAGACGTGATTCATCTCATTTCAATATACGTACCTGAAAAGGTCGCAGGAATTTTGTTCTGAATGTGCCAAATTCTCTCCATGCACATAGTCTAGATGAAGATAAACTAACAAGATCACTGTGCATTGCAAATATTCACTAGGTGCAGTGATGAATGATAGATGGCATAAGAAAATCTACCACAACATTAGGAAGACGTTCAAAAGAAACAAATAAAATATACAAAGGAGGTCCATGGAAGGATAAAATATACTAACTTGATTATGCTGCTTTTGCTCTTGCATGGCTTCCCAAACAGCCTGGTCAATCTTCTCTTTATGTCTGTCATGCTCTGCTTCCCACATTTTTCTTTCTTCTGCATGAATCTTTTCCATATTTCTCCTCTCCTCCTCTACTGCTTTCAGAACAGCCTCCCGCACTACTTCTTTTTCAGCCTTTGAAACAAATCAAGTACAAATAAATGACCAAAATACCCAACGTGGTTGGCTAACTCATACATATTACTTCTTCTAATGAGATCTATAAGCTGACAAGATATGGGATATAAATATTTTCACTTCTGAGCTTAAATTTATCTTAAGGCGCAACCAAGCAGGTATTACCACTGGAGAATGACTTCGTAGTTACAGAAAAAAAAAGGAAAGTTACAAGCAAGGACCTTATATTGTGTTTTCAGTAGGTGGGAATTTATCATTACTTGTTTGCTTAATGCCAACATAAAAAAAATGCAGCAGAAGTCACGTAAGAGTTGGTAGATCATGGGCCTCCCTACACTGCTTGATATTCCCATATATAAGATATTACTGCTTTTATCTTCAAGTATCTAAAGGCCAAAAACAGTCCAAGCATTTTCTGTGGCAAAGTAGTCAACACATACTTAAAACAAATGTGTCTTCCCTCCCAAAGCTCCTTAGCTATGCATTCTACAAGTACTCTCTCATCTTTTTTCTTCCAGTGTTTATAGTCAACCATTACATGAAATCATCAGAAGACACACACTGAATTTGAAGTAACGAGGACAGCTCTACACATACTGAGCCACATAAATATATGTATCAGCAAGACAATCACTGCATAATATCTACACATAAATAATGGCAGGCTGAAGTTCAAAATATACAAACATGGACTGACAAACCACCCCCCACCCCCACTCCCCACCCCCAACTTCAATAAGCTTACAGGTCATTCCAATGCCCTTTGGTGGTGATTATGGAACTGTTTAAGTGAAACTATAAATGACAAAAAAATACAGGGTTCCTCAAATACCTACAAATATAAATAAAGCTGTTTCTTGCAATTCATTTGGACCCTTTTTTTTTATTTAGACATTTAAAAAAATATAATAAAAATGTAGGTTAAAAAAAATGCCCCATTGAATTATTTTATTATATACACATTTTCCCCTAGATATCAACCATGTAACAGATGTTTCTTGTGTTACTGAACCATATTCAGAGAGGCACTCAGCTAGTGTGCATATACTACATATGAAGATATACAGGAAATGATAATATAGCCTAATCAACTGTGCTAAGTAACATACATAACTAATTTTCCCAGATCATTACATGGAACTGAAATCTTGTACTGGATTCTACATTAGTATGAGAAATGAAAGATAGCTTAACATTTATGAAATTATTGTCCTAATCCAAATGCACTTAATAATGAAATAGACTGAAGAAATCATATTTAAAAAAGTAAATACTCACTTTTAGTCAAACATCAACTTATATAAAATAAACATCAACTTATATAAAATAATTTAAAACCTGTTAAAACATCTGAATTTTTATATGATTTGTAAAATAGTTCTATCCTCATTGAAAATGAACATATTTAACAAAAGTTAAATAAGACACAATGCTGTCTTAAGATCATCAGTTAACCCTGCTACCTATCTCTTCAAATCAAGTTTTATTGATGTTAACTGAAAGATCACAAAACCAGATAGTTATGTAACACCAACAACTGAACTGCAATATTGTCACTTCTTGTTATAAACTAATTCAGAGGCTATCTTAGATAGAAGTTACATAGACTATCTGTATTAAGGCATAGGATATAGCAGATATGTTCATGATTTATAGAATTAGCTTCATTTGAACACAGATGAGAACAGAGTTTGACCAATTTAAATATGAAACGAGTTGCTGAACTTGGCATTTGTAATGTCACACACAGAATCCACATTGCATGTCTACTACTTAACAAGAGATACCTTTGCAGCAGCTGCCATAGCCTCCTTACTTCTTTGTCTTTCTTCATCCAAACATTTTTCAAGCACTTCCTGTAAATGTTATGAAAAATGAAACTGCAATACACAACCAAGAAGTGACTGAAAACCATTTCAAACAGTCAAAATGCTTGAGAAAGCTTCCTCTGCCTGTCAATGATTGACAGGATCGTTCCCAATGAACACCATGGTGCAGATCAGACACCCTTTTTTTATAAATAAAAGTAATACCTTGTGTTTTTTTGACTGCTGCATCAAAGCTTCTTCTATCTTTTCTGATAACACTTCCTTCTCTGCTTCCAAAATGCTGAGAAGGCGCTGATGCTATTGAGAGAAAACATCCATATTATTGTAACTGGTCTGCTAGTAAAACAGACAAAAAGAACTCATCCAAGACACTTAGGTTTGTCAGTTGCTTACAAAATGACTTAAAATGTAGATTCAGCTAAATGACATATACAGCACTCCTTTAATTGATTTCATGACATGAAAAAAAAAAAAATCACAATAGTAAGAAATCTTTAGCTTCCCTGCTATCTGAGTCTGAAGAGTATTAGGAAAGAAGCTGAAAAAAAAAATCACCATATAAGAGCAACACTTACAACATCTATAAAGATAGTCTAAGTAACACGACACTTTAAACACTTCATTTAAACAGCTGCAGAATTTAAATGATGCTTGTGCTGCCTCTGAGTTATATGTATAGAGGGCAGAAGGCAAGTGTATTTTTTTCAACCATTTGTGACACCATGAACAACAAATAACAACAAAAGAGAATGCTGCTTTCTTCTAATTTTCTTGTAATCCAAAACATTTTTTCAGGGAGAAAATGAACACCAAAAGAAAGTGACCAAGTAGTCTATATGTAGACATATAATCCCTCACTGTTCTTAATCACAGCCCATTTATCTGTTTTTCACTAAACCTAGTAAAGCATTTGAAAGATGTGGGTTTCGTCTGTAAGAGCTAAGCTGTTTTCCAAAACTAGAAATTATTACTGGAAATTATTGATGTGGTGTATTTGTAATGAGATAATTGCTAGCAAATCAGTACACTTTGTAACATGTTATTTAAGAGATGATCTATTATAACCTTATAGTATCAATACCTAATAATATTTTAAAAGATCACCAAAAGAAAAGTGTAATAGTAGAGTTTTATATTAATAAAAGTGTATATAATGAAGATAAAATTTTTACACAAACACTTATGCAGGCAAATACGCCTTTCACCAGCATTTCTAAGAAAGTCAGCTGTCACATGAATTTTATTATGTTTTAAAAATTAAGTGTCTCTAATGGCAGCTAGAAATACATTACCAAATTGCAATACTATGTTCTGAAAAATATTTTTTCATTTGAAGAAAAGAATAGAAAACTTCTAGACTGCTTTATAAAATAAAACATCTATCTGCCCTTCCAGGATAAATATGTAAAGAGGCATTTCCTTGTGAATTTACTTAAAATAGGTCTGAATGGAGTAGACATATTCTAATGGAAAACACCTGTGGAAGGACTGGTGAAATTCACATCATGGTTATACTTAATGATGTGTAACTAACTTTTCTTGTAGACTTGGTATTTTCAGACATTAGCTTTAATGGCAGTTAAGAGAAATTATTTTTTCCCAGTAACTCCTAGGTGAAACAATAAATGGATTTTATTAGTTAAATGATCTCCATGACTCTTCACTTGACTGACTGCACAGACCACAAACCTGTTATTTCACTTTCATTTGAAAGACTGGCACAATGGAGGACAAACATATGCAAATATTTTATCAGACCTATGCCACAAATCAAAGTTTACTAATGTAAAAAAAGATTAAAATATTGAAACTTTACTTGCCTCAGTCAAGAATCAGCAAGGAACTTTCTAAAGAGAGTTCATTAGAGAAAATCACCCCTATTTTAAAAACACCTACAACAGAACGGCAGTCAACTTGTTCAGCAAGATTAGAATTCCTAATGTAAGATTTGCAGGCATTTAATTCCACTTTGACTCTGACCATCAGATTTCTAGGTTAGACACGAAGACCATGTATACATATTTCAAGTTGCCATAATGGGCCAGCTACCAGTTGTATTTTACAACATTCTCCATGGGACTACAATTTTCAGCCTTTAAGCTTCAGGGCAGTTTTGGAAATTTGATTTTACATATATGTAAATATGTATAGACAACATTCAAGCCTATCCTGGAAGTCCTGAAACAGTGCAGACACTTGCATTATTACAATACAGAACATGTATACACGGCCAATGGAGACAAGTAACGTCTGTTCTCCCTGCAGACAATATACTTTCATGACTACAGCCTTCTGCATGACCCCAACCTCCCTACACAGCAGTTTACTTTTCATAAACCAGTGGCAGACCTAGAATCCTGAAAAATACAGATATTGGGACCAAAACTTTTTTGTCATATGGAAACCTGAAAAGTTCTGATCTTTAATACAGCTCTGAAGTAAAAAATGTGTCTCCTTCACTGCAATAAGAGCGCACCACTAAATCCAGAGATCAACTCCTTGTACAAAACAACAGCTGGACATACCAGTTCCACGGAGATACAGCATACCAAACAAATGGAAATATAGACAGCAGTATAAAATAAATTAGTTTGCTTCTTCTGGAAGCAGAAAGGGAAATCTTTAAAATACAATATACTGCTTTTGCTTGCCACTTAAACTACAAAAAGAGTTGCCCAATAAATAAACAATTACCATAAAAATGAAGGCTGCTGTGACCGCTATTTGCAGTATGATTACTTTAATTGACCTTAGGATCTCCTGTTTCCTGGGTAGATTAGAAAATCTATATGGTATTACATGTTGAGTTTTACAGAATTCACAGAAATTCAGTAAGAACTGTATGAAAAATTGTATCTGTGTATAGAAACACACTAGTTCCTATTTTTCCAGATACCAGAGGTAACTATTTGTAAGCACACTTAGAATTCTTTCAAAATAAAAGCTAATGTCTTCTGGCATATTACAATACAGCATCTTTTACATTACATAGCATCCCAATATCTCATGGAAATGTAAAATATATAATTTCAAGACTGTAAGCCTTTTGTGAATAGCTCAACATGTCCTTCCCTATTATAATGTAAATGTTTATTCATGTGGAATAATCCTTCCATAAATGGTTACCTTCGTATCTGAACTTCCAAGAGTTCATATACCATCATAAATGTTGCAACAGCTGTCCATACAACTCAGTAAAGCGAATTCTCTTGTACTAGTCTTAGAGAAATAACTTGAAGAACTGTTTATTTGGCTTCAGAATTTATATTTAGCAAAATAGTTTTCTTTTTCAGATAGAAACATACCTTAAGCTATTAAATTACAGAAATGATATGAAAAGAAATAAGTAACTGGAAACAGACAAAGCAGAATAAAATATTATGTGAACTGCTATTCCCTGAAACAGGTCTGGGGTCCAGAAAGCCCATATTATATAGTAAGCACAGATACAACAAAAAGGATGAAAGCTTCCATTCTGAATGTAACTAATAAGCAATTTAATTACTTCTCAAGAACTTTTATTTTTTTCAAGGTACTGTACTCCACAGTAGTATTACCCTCATACAGAGCCATGGAATCTTCTTGAAAGCTGTGCTTATTAAAATGATGTAAAGACAGCTCAGTGCTATTATTAATCTATTTTATAGAAAAGAATGCACCGCCTTATCATCTGAATTCCTTTTTACAGCAGCACAGATCTTTCAAAGGCATACTCAGGTATCTAGGTTATGCATAACACATAAGCAGAAAATGTGAGAAGTTAAGCATAGTAAAGGCTTCTGCGCATTCCCTCTTCTGATAGCAATCAGGGAATTATTAGCTATTTCTGTATAATGACAGCATTCTGACAGACTTTCAAAAAAAGCAGTAATGCAAAGGAAATGACTAATGAATGTATGAATAGATTTCCAAGCTGTTAGTTTAAATGACATCAAGCTATTATAACCCCTCTGGAACTAGTCTTTAAATTAGGGCAACTAGCTTTGTACTTTAGATTTTAAAATAATCCCTATACCTTCTAAGTAGAGGTTATTATATAGCAGAATTAGGTACATTCGTTTTCTAGATGTATACAGAATGACTTTGGACTCTGGTACTAAATGGCCACAATGAACTTTACATACAGTCAGTGCTTCCTCAGTTGGCCTTTCAGATGAAGTTATTAAAGAGAGTTGAAGGTTAAAACATAAAAACATATGAAAGCTGACAGTTTCACTTCAGCACCTATACATTTGAGAGCTTCCAAATGTTCTTGCATTTTTTAGTGAACAGGAAATAACAGCATGTTTTAGGTTCATTTACTTGGACTATAGATTTTTGTTCAACTGTAGTAAACATCTCTTAACAATGCAGACCATTGCTGAATTAAAGATCAAATACGCTGAGATAAATGCCTATAGGTTAGCAAAATTATTTCCTAACCCCCTCCCTTCCTCAGCAGGACTAAAAGCTATAGAAAGAATGCAAGTTTGCTCCTGGAAACTGTGCTAAGGCACATGGAAAATAAAGAGGTGGTTGGTAGCAGCCAACAAGGCTTCACTAAGGGCAAATTGTGCCTGTAAAAATTTGATGGCCTTCTATGATGATGTTACAGTGTTGATGGATAAGGGGACAAAAACAGATGTCATCCACCTGGACTTGTGCAAAGCACCTGACACTGTCCCCTACAACACACTGCTCTCTAAATTGAAGAGACATGGATTTGACCAACAGACCACTCAGTGGATAAGGAACTGGCTAGACAGTTGCACTCCAAGAGCTGCGGTCAATGGCTCCAGGTCCAAGTGGCATTCCTCAGGGCCAGTTCTGTTTAACATCTTTGTTGGTGATATGACGTGGGGATTGAGTGCACCCTCAGCAAGTTTGCTGTCAACACCACACTGTGTGGAGCAGTCAACATGCTGGAGGGAAGGGATGCCATCCAGAGGGACCCAGACAGGTTTGAGAGGTGGGCCTGTGCAAACCTCATGAAGTTCAACAAGGCAAGTGCAAGGTCCTGCATGCGGGTTGAGGCAATCCCATGCACAAATACAGACTCGGCAGAGAATGGATTGAGAGCAGCCCTGAGGAGAAGGACCTGGGGGGTGTAAGATAAAAGCTTAAATACCTGCAGCAAATCACTTCTCATTAAGGAGAAATCATTTTCCTTCTATTTATATTGCACTTTTCTTTCTTTACCTTGATGGTCTCCTTCCTTACCGTCTTCTAAATAGTGTCAAACAGGCATTCTTGGATAGGGAGGGATTAAAGTACACGTGAAGCGAGGCTCAGATCACACATTCCCATCTCTAAATTAT